AGGAGTCGGCGATTGAAACGCGAGCTCAGGTAGGGGATTAAGAGTGTGGAGAAAGCGCCAATAATGTAGGGTGGCACGGTGTAGAGCTGCTGGGAGATAATGCTGTGGTTCGGGTAGATGGTCTTCACAATGGTGGGCGCAAAGAAGGCCAAGCCCTGCACTGTCACATTCACAAGAAGCATGATCCAAGATGTCGCCAATGTGACGGGGTTGAAGATCCCGCGCGTGGTCTTCTTCATGTCAAGCTTGTCCAGGACCTCGGTGACGCCCGCATACTCTGACTCGGAGCGGATCCGCGCGATGGCTAAGTCTTTCTCCTCCTGTGTTAGCCAGCGGGCTGTTTCAGGTCGATCTGTGAGGGTTAGGAATGCAAAAATAGCAACTCCGATAGTTATAATGCCTTCAATGGCAAAGATCATACGCCAATCTTTCAAGTTGCCGAACGAAGGAAGCTTCAGGATGCCAGAAGCAAGTAGGCCACCGAAGGCACCAGCTAGAGGGGCCATCACCATGTACATGGAGATCCGAAAGGCAAGTTCCCTTCTCCGATACCATCGCGACAAATAGTATGAGATGCCCGGGAGTAATCCTGCCTCAAACGCACCTAGGAGGAAGCGCACTCCTGCGGCACTTGATAGGTCGTGGACAAATGCCGTGCACAATGAGCATATCCCGAACCCCAAGGTCAGGGCAGGAATGACCCAACCCGGACCAAGCCATTTGCAGGCGATATTGCAAGGGATCTCGAAGATAATATAGGAAATATAGAACACAGAGAGCAAGCTATTATATTCATAGCCTGTTAACCCTAGGTCTTCTTCCAGCCCGGCCAATTTCGCATTCCCTGTAACATGCAAATCATTAGCATCATCCATCCATGCTCCGAAACAAAGAATTGGGTCTGCGTCAAACATGGCGACTAATATAGGGTGTCTTTACCAATGTTTGCTCGATCAATAAAACAGAAGAGGTACATAAGGGATGCGACGGGGACGATGTAGAGATCAATCTTCAATCGCAGCCGGGACTCAGCAGCAGGGTCTAACCCCACTGTGGGTTGGACGGATCTGAACATACAAAGGCTTGAGTTAGCCAAGGTGTCGTCTAAGATATAAGGGACACTGATCATACCGATCAGTTGCATTAGGATCATAAACTTCCGTAACGCCGGTACTGTCATCCTCGACATGCTGGGAACCAACCTTTTCCTCAGACATAGCGAGAAAACTATTAGATCTAGAAATTGGTGAGCAACAAAAGAACGCCAGTAATAAGACTGATAAGAAACGAAAACGGGGAGACTAACAATTTGAGCTGATGGGTACAGCACGCTATGGAGACTGAATCATCATGCGCAGCAAGTCTCCGCTTTATGTAGTCATAGAGGCGTAGTTGAACTCATGTCGTCAACTCTAGCTCTAGATTAGTTCATGCGGGGGAAGACGATAACCCCAGAGGCTCTCTTCCAGTAACTAACTACAACAACTGAAAGAATTAGGCAAATCTCGCGAATTAACCAGTGAAACGATCTAGAATCCCTAGTATTGAGTGGCCGGAGAGCGGAAGAGCTTGGCATTGTGGTTGTTTTGTCTGAAAAGAATAGGGTTCGGCAACAGAGGCGCGTTATAAATGCCGGGGTAGTGATATGGGGACAGAGTGCCCACCAATGTGAGGATGGAGATTTCCCCATGATTCAAGTAGTCTAACCCCGGATGCGGGGATTCCTTGGCTTTTTGGCTTTCTTTTCTTAATCCCCTTCGTTAAGGCCTGGATATGACTCTTGGTATGGGGCGGACTATGTTGTCTTGGCTAAATTAGTACATACTTACTGAGGGCCGCATGAGAACAGGGCGTTGTAGAGCCAAATTGAGTTCATGATATTATGGCTTTCTAGCGATATGCACAGATCTAGATCGCCGACAGTATTGCGAAGTCTTGCAGCCAGAAATAACCGGATGCCGCCGCCGGTCGGCAGGAAAGTATAATCAAGTCTTCTATCGCACGTGTATGTGAACATTTCTCCCCATCTTAGTCTCATTTGCCTGTGTCATTCGCTAGGCTATGTGCCACTTACAGATTGCCAATTCATGCTGTGTAAGTCACAGAGGTCTCGTAGTCTACAACAGTGTACCGGCGGTATAGAGAATTAAAGAACAGATACAAGTCAAAAGGCAATTGAAACCACAATATATGAAAACAACGTGTGTCTCAGAAGTGAGAGTCTCTTTGGTCGAAGATTATTAAGAAGCCAGCCAGAAGCTACCCGAACTCGCATGTGGCAGAAGAAGTTTTCAAATAGTTCTCCGTAGATTCTTTTGCATCCCTGCGCAGCCCATGTCAACACAGGAGCCGGTAGGACTGCCCCTTGGAGTATGGACCATGAGTCTTGTCCGGGACAGGAAAGACGCAGGGTGCATTAAAGGACAACCAGGACGGCCAACTGAGTGAATCAAGTGCCTCCAACGTAGCATGGTCTTGTCGGAACCATCTGCAACACGTTGAAATAGGCAGACTAATATAAGATACATCTAGCCGTTCAAGGACAGCCACTTGGCGGTATCTTCAAGGGATCTATGGTAAATTAACATATCACTTATGTGTTCAACCAGACAGATGTTCTTTGGCGAAATATGCGGAAATTTGAAACCTCAGCTACTAGTCACCCTAGCAGTGCCTTCGAATATATTACGTTGGACGATTGACCTCTTAAGTTTGTCTGAAACAATTTTTGAAGTCGGCAGTCGAGGGTACTGACATTTGCCGTGACCCAATGTGATGGGTGTACTTTCCATATCGCGATTGAGGAAGCACACGATACTGTTAGCTCTTGGATCGATATGCGCGCAAAGTAGCAGATGACGCATGACTTAGGAAGACACGTTTCTTGAGATAATATGACGAGATATAGGGTACTATCTAGCCGATCCCTGCCAATCAGAGTGGAATACGAAGGGCTTTCATCCAATTAAGCGCCGGAAGCACTGATTGCTAATGCATGGTTCCCACTTGTCCGCTATATTATGTTATGAACTCGGCAAGTTTGCGTCTGCCTATATGCCGACAGCTACTTCTTTCTCGCCTACTCATTTTTCATTTTCATTTTCATTTTTGGTTTCTTCTCCAGATCTCTGGAGTAAGTGGAGACTACTGTCATTTCATTGCCATGGACTGGTGCTTTTGACAACGTCAGCGGGAGAGCATCAGGATCCCAACTGTGGGCCTTTGTGGGGTTGTGCTGTGCGGGGTTCTCCATTCTTTTGTCCCTTAGTATTTATTATCTAACAATACTTCCGTAGCTGTAGCGATAATTCATCCACTGAGCCCTTGCGGGGCAACGTTGACACCAAGTGTATCGGATGTTATCGACCCTTCACAACTGCCGACCCTGCTGGTTACAGTTTGGCATGACATGTTACCCTGCTCTCCTTGAGATGAGGAATGATACGGGATGGGATCAGATAAATATTGGGTGCTCTTCCCGTCGTATGTATCAATCTCTCGTAAGGCAGCCAGATAGATCGCCATCATGACACTTCTGGCCGAGATCTTCTCGCGCGCGTCGCCGGAGCATGCGCTATATATCCTCCCCTTCATTTCGCTGATTTATCTCGGCCACTTGTACTTTCACAACGGCCTAAGTCGCTACCCCGGCCCCTTTCTGGCCAAGTTTACCGACCTCTGGCGGTTCATTGATGTATGGGGCCGACAACCTCATGAGACGCATATCGCGCTACATCGCAAGCATGGCGACGTTGTACGCATCGGGCCAAACACACTGTCTTTTAGCAGCCCGGCTGCAACTAAGGTCATTTATGGGTTGAACAAGGGATTCACCAAGGTGGGTGTCACCGGGTAGTTAAGACATTAACACGGAAGGTCTGACGATACTGCAGTCCGAGTTCTATCCCGTTCAGATGACTGTCTCCAAAGGCGAGCCGTTACCGTCCTTGTTCTCGACCCTGGATGACAAGTTCCATGCGGAGCTCCGACGCTCAGTTAACCATGCGTTCTCGATGAGTTCGCTGGTACAGTACGAGCCCATGGTGGACGAGACCACACTGCTCTTCCTTGACCAGACCGATCGCCTCTTCGCTAGTGGTAGCAAGGTCTGTGACTTTGCACGCTGGCTACAATTTTTCGCATTCGATGTTATCGGCAGCATTACCTACAGCAAGCGCCATGGCTTTATTGAGAAAAATGAGGACATTGATGGTATTGTAAAGTCCCTCGCTCGCATTTTCAACTATGCCGGGCCTATCGGCCAGATGCCATGGTTGGATAAAGTCTTCTGGAAGAACCCAATCTTCGATGCAATGCAAAAGTGGGGGTTGTTGGACAATTCCCACCCAGTTGCGATCTTTGCACGACAACGGATGATGGAGCGCATGTCGTCAAAGGCTGCAATCGACCCAAGTTCACGCAGCGATCTTCTTACCAAATTCATGAAAGCAGGCGAGTTGCGCCCCAACTTCATGACAGAGAAACGAGTCCTCACCATGGCCGTCTCCATGGCCTTTGCCGGATCCGAAACGACGGCCATCAGTCTTGCAGCCGTATTCTACTATCTCCTGAAGACGCCCGAGTACATGCGACGGGTGCGGGAGGAGTTGGACGAGGCGATTCGGAATGGTACAATCGAGAACCGTCCAAGCGGACTCGTCTCGTGGACCGAATCTCAGAAGCTTCCATTCCTCGATGCTTGCATAAAAGAGGCGTTTCGTATCTTTCCCGCAGCTGGTCTACCCCTGGAGCGTGTTACTCCTCCCTCTGGTGCGGACATCGCCGGCCAGTTTATCCCGGGCGGTACGATCGTCGGCTGTAGTCCATGGGTGATCCATCGTCGTGAGGACATTTTCGGGTCCGATGTCGACACGTACAACCCAGATAGATGGCTAAATGCCTCAGAGGAGAAGTTAAAAACCATGAACGGAATGATGCTCCAGTTTGGTGCTGGTTCCAGAACATGCATTGGAAAAAATATTTCCTTGATGGAGATTTACAAACTGATTCCAAGCTTTCTAAGAAGATTCGATGTATGTATTACAACTACAACTTGACAGTAAAAAGGAATGATGCTAATATCTGAGTGCACAGGTGCGATTAGCCTACCCCGAGCAGGAATGGAAACTGTGGAATGCCTGGTTTGTGCGACAGTATAATTTCAACACTGTATTTACCCCGAGGAAGATTGAGGTACAGTAATCACTCTATCCTAGCAAAAATACATCAATCATAAAGCCTAAATTTCTCTTTTCTTTTGAATGAAGCGGTATATTCACAGTTTGGCGTCCCTCTCCTTCACCACAGGCGTAATGGCCCATGGAAGCGGTACACATTATAGCGTAATGTTTCGATTAAATATAGTATATCGTCGTTAATCAGTGCAAGGCTGCATGATATATTCGTGGCCGAATAGGTCGGTGTCAATCGGAACCCGTGGATAGACATTTCGATATGTCAACCCTCGGAGAAGTATATGCGTCCTGGACCAGCCGGATGTCAATCTCGCTGGCTGTCATGACCGCCCTTACAAGGAATCCTTGTAGACAGCATCAAGCTCAATAGAATCACAGCCATCCGGGACGTCACCTCCTTTGCTTTTATTGTGATAATATAGACCAGGGAGGTCGCTGGCGCCATCGCAAACTAGACAAACAGAAGACAGTTCGCCTCAATTCCTACAACTCTTTCCAAGACGCAAGAAACTTACCTAGCCATCCACCCCAATTTTCATTATCAGTAGCCAGGATGTTATCACTGGTAAAACTGAAGCCTGTGCTACCAGATGAAGGGCTCACGCCAACCTCCACCTCACTCTGGACCTCGTCGCCCGAGACGAGAGCCAACTCGTAGGGAGCTCCATTCGGCGCATTGTAGCGCACGGTTCCATCGAGGAGGTAGAATTCGGCAGCGTCGGCGGCATCGCGAAAGACAGCCTTGCTGTTCAGTGGGTCGACATGTTGCGTTGACAGGTAGAGACCGTTGTAGCTTTCATCCGAGGCATTTGAGCTGACCAGGTTGAATATCCTTGGGACAGGACTAGTGGTGGCCGTGGCAGCCAAGAGGACGACACTGGTGAAGAACTTCATTACGGGGACTAATGGAGAGTTGCAAATTGATCTGGTATGAACGGCCGGGGGGTAATGAGGCCGCTATTTATGTGCTGGGAAGGGCGTGATGATCACCGTGTGGAGTTGATGCAAACCCTTGGCTCCAATACCGGCTGCATTACGGAGTAAGCTGCAAGCAGTGCAAAGTGGCGAAGATGATCAGACCCACAGCTTCTATTACATCATGAACTCTCCCCCCAGTTCCCCAGGGACCATGGAATGAATGGCTAATTATACGCCGTTCTTGAATTTCCTACATAGTTTTCTAAGTAGCGAAATGATTGATTCAATAGGCTTCTTATTGACCACCCATGGCGCGGCTGGGCGCAGGGTCCTCATAGCCTCCCAATCTGATATCAAGGCATGCGGGACGGGGCCTAAATGGTGGTCTCTACCTAAAACTACTCCATATGCGGCTTTGAATTCCGCTGGTTCTGAGATAATGCTATGAATGTGTGTGAACTTTCTCACAAGCGATGTATATCCTTACAAGGGCTTCTAACCCTTGCGTCTCAGCGGCCAGGAAGGAAGAATTCACATACAACTTTTCAGACCGTAAACAGGATTAAATAGATTGTTATTACAGTTCCCGATACATATCTCTACAAAGTATTCTCGATCGTTATCGTACAAATGATTAACATCTGTGGCTGTGAAAAATACGTGACTAAGAAATGCGTCCAGTGTGGCATGCCGCCCATGTAGGAGCTCATCATGCTTATACTCGGTACCCGCCGGACAGAAAAAGTACGAGGCCAATCCATGATTCCATAGGGCCTAAATCTATGTTCTAGTATAGATTTAGTAAAAATTTGTGGCACCAGGTAGACCAACCGGCGTACAGAGAAGAGTTGCAACTTGTGGGGTAAAAATCCAAAGCATCTCGGCAAGAGCGAATGTCCGAGCCTTGACTAAATCCGAGGGCAGGCAAAGAGATGGTCACTAAAAGTCCCGCTGCTCGCTCCACTTTTCTCACGTCTAGTGTCGTTGCCTCCCAACGTTGGGGTTTAGCTCCTGCGCGGTTTAGATGACCGTTGACGCAGTGCGATGCCGATTTGCCGGTAGCGGCCAATAAAAGCAGCCATGACCCTCGAGCCACGACGTTGAAGAAATTGCAAGAAAAACCCAAGCTGCAAAATGAGATGGGGATGGCACACTTGCCTGAGACTGACCGCACACGGCGTGCAGATGAAGAAAAGCCTGCAAATCATCTTGGTCCGGACCCCAACTTGGTCGGATGGGAGGAAAATGACCCAGAGAATCCGCATAACTTCTCGACGATATATAAATGTTGGATTACTTTCCAGCTCGGCATGCTGGCTCTAAGCGCCAGTTTAGGTTCTAGTATCATCTCCCCTGCGCAGACTAAGCTGGAAGTATACCTAGGCATCAGTGCTGAAGTCAGCATTCTCCCAGTGTCTCTTTACATGTAAGGCGCCTCTACCTGACCCCCGCGGGCATTCCGTATCGGTCAAATCGCTGATGAGGAAATACAGCCTTGGCTTCGCTTTTGGACCACTATGCTGGGCTCCTATCTCGGAAATCTGGGGACGCCGCTGGTCGATGCTCCCGGCGGTTTTCATGCTGGGCATTTTCAGTATCGGTACCGCAACAAGCAAGAATACCGCCGCCGTTCTCGTCACTCGATATTTCGCCGGGGTGTTCGGTTCCGCTCCTGTCAGCAATGTATCGGCAGCCCTGGGAGACTTCTTCCATATGAAGGCGCGCGCCGTCGCCAGCACATCCTACGCCATCTGCGTCGTGGGCGGGCCAACAATGGGACCGATCATTGGTGCTGCCCTGATCAACAATCCACGCCTGGGTTGGCGCTGGACGGAGTACATTGAAGCAATCATTGTCTTTTTCGTCTTCACAGTAACCTTCTTCTGCTTACCAGAGGTATATGGTCCCGTGCTTCTACATAAAAAAGCAAAGCGCCTGCGCAAGGAGACCGGCAACCAGGACCTATATCACCCACACGAGCATATGAAAATCGATGCGTATAGTATTGTCACCAAGCATTTCTCCCGCCCGCTTGTCATGCTTGTGACGGAGCCAATGGTTACGGTGATTGCGCTATACGCCTCGTTCACCTATGCTCTGCTCTATCTCACCCTCGAGGTGTTCCCCATTGTCTTTGCCGATATCCGCCAGTGGAAGCCGGTGGTTGCCACATTACCCTTTATCGGCCTTTTTGTTGGCGTCCTCCTATCAGCCGCGTTTATCATTCTTGTCGGCCAGCCATACTACATCCGAAAATGGGAAGAGGGCGGCGGGAAACCGGTCCCCGAGGCACGTCTGATGCCCATGGCAGTTGGAGGGTTTCTGTTCGCAGGGGGCCTCTTCTGGTTTGGCTGGACGGCGGAACCATCCTATTCCTGGGGGTTACCCGTCGTGGCAGCTGTGATGTTCGGGTGCGGATTCTGTATCATCTTTGGTCAATGTATCAATTTTCTGGTCGATACATACGGGCCATACGCTGCCTCAGCCACTGCGTCTAACACCTTTTTGCGAAGTGTGCTTGCAGCCGCGTTCCCGCTTTTTGCCCAGCAGATGTTTCGCAATCTTGGAGTAGGGCCAGCGATGTCGATCCTCGGTGGTATTGCGGCGATTTTAGTTCCAGTTCCTTTTCTGTTCCGGATCTACGGTGTGCGGTTGAGAAAGATGTCCAGGTTCGCGCCATTTAAAGGATAATGATCCAGGAGCCGAACAATCTTAACGCAACAGACATGATCCAGCCGTCTGATAAGGGGCCAGCGTGGCCAGGAAGATACCTGAAAGCCCACGTTCTTAACCGACAGCGGTTAAGACAGCTTCAACCCTCTAATAAAGGCTGTACTAAGCACATGTGTGCCAGTATTGTGCAGGATGCTGCTTGCACTTCGAGTCCACATTACCACTCACCGGCAGCGATCTTCTGCTTTCTTCAAGCGACGGCCCAGGAGAGAAACCACTACAAGGCAAGATGTAACCTTCGTCTGTAGGCCTGATTTGGCCGATTTATGTAGAGGTCCCTACTATAGAATTTAATAGCCAATCCACATATACTACATAAGAATTTCCATATTCGATACTTAAAGGCATTGAATTTGGAGCTGATAATGTTCCCGAATGCTTCCTTCACGGAGGGTTACATTTACATTTCTCACATCTTATTCCGCCGGCTCAGTTCGGTGTATTTGTTTCTTAACCGTGTGCCTGTCAGTTTCAGTGGGACCAGGATAGCGTCCGCACCGACAGATAAGGCATGTGCTTTCTCTGACAACAAATGCCAAAGAGGAATACTCAGAAGCCTACCTTGCCAAAAAAAAATAGGAGCAACTGCGAGGTCTCATAAATATTCTCTCGTCGACGTATGGTAACATCTTCTCCTTCCCTAGTATTAATTGCGGCATGGGCATACTAGACGCTACTCACCTCTAGTCCTGAGCGCTAAAACCATCACTATCAAGACCATTTTTCATACTCTCCTTGTGCGACTTCGGAACAGGAATCATAATCAGTAAGATTGCGAGACTCCGAAGACAAAGATCTGTATTTCCCAGTATAATGTTATTGTTAAATGCCCCGCAGGAGTTCTGCCGGTTGAATTGTGAGTAGTACTAGGAATATATATCTCTCCGTCTCTCCCGAAATTATCCCACCATTAGCTATAGCCTTGAAGAAGATCTTAACAGAATATTGGTTCATTTTCTAGTGATATAGAGTAGGTTAGGACACAAAAGTTCTTCAATAATTACTAGTACTTTAGTAGCTCGTCGCGAGATCGAACATATGCAAGAGGCATTCCTTGAAATAGCCATGTTTCGCTTACGTATTTTTAAAAGCGAGACCTGAACTTTATTATTATTTACTTATTGTTAGGTCACATCCAAGACGGTTTATTACTCCTACAAATTATATTGGACATTCAACTGTTAGAACCAGAGCTAATTTAGCTCACGAGACAGGCTCAGCCCTAGTGTGATTTGGCTTTGGTAGTCGACCAACCATGTCGCCTACCGCGCACTCCAGTTGGGACAAAAAGTGATTGCGAATATTATGCTAATCTAAGCTAAACTAGTTCAGATCCACACATCCTTTAATGCTCAAAATCTCCCCCACCTCTGGACGGACTGCAACTGGATTTTTCTTTCCTCACAGGCGGTGTGCTGCTGGTTGAGGCACTTACAGAATCTGTATGAACCGTATATTCATAGAATGGGATGCCGATCTATCTACCTAGCTTGGACCCATGGGATCTTCAGAGAAGTTAGAATAGGATAACCTTGAATGCTGCGAGCCATGCTCATCCTCGAGACGTTATTCAACACCAATAGTATATGGTCTGTGGTACGACTGGAACCTGTACACAGTTTCTATATTATTACCCTTCACTGAGGCCACGTCCTGCAGATTTTCCAAGCAAGGGGGTCCCCCATTCAGGGCTAGACATGTCCATGAACTACTAACTACCTGATCTCAACGTCACCATGGGATATATCTCCCCTTTTGGGTGGGTGATATAGTAGTAACCCACCGGTCAAACCCCGGCAGCGCAAAAACTCCCGTAGCGGAAAATCTCCCGCGCTATTCGTAATCAGTTCCGCGGCGCCAAAACCCTCGCACGACCTCACTGTCCATGGCCATCTCAAGAATTCCCCAGCGCAATCCTTTACTCGCGGCGTAAAATGGAGAAGACAGGACCGGTGGAGGCTGGCGAACGTGATGGGGGAATGGATGGCAAGGCCGCATTCACGACGGTTCAAGCGCCCCGCGACAATGAAGGCCGACCGGAAGTCTTTTCATCCACCATTCAAGAGATCCTCTTTGTCGCTGTTGCGACCATGGCAATTGCCATGTCATCCCTCCTCACCGGGACCATCACGGTGCTCACGTCTCAAGTTCAGAAGGACTTGAACATGACCACTGCGGAGCTGACTTGGCTGACCAGTTCCTCCTCGTACGTCGTCTAATGTTCACTTACTGTCCATGACTGCCCTATTGCTAATGGTCGATCACCAGTCTGGCTTCCGGATCCTTTCTTCTGTTTTTCGGTCGTTTGGCGGATTTATTTGGCCGGAGAGCGCTTTTCGTCGGTGGCATGGCTTTCTTTGCCGTCTTCGCGCTGGCTGCCGGATTTTCCAA